GTCAAAAACCTCCAGTCTTTGCTCATCTTCCATGCGCGAGGCCCAGCATTCATACTCATAGAAGACTGGCAGGACGGGTATACGGTACACACGGATCTTCATGGCGATGGAGAGGTCGCGTCGAATCCATAGGCGCTTTCGGATGATTGAGAAAACCCCGTAATCAGCATCGATTTGGGAGACAATGTCGTCCTTACTCTGTCCAGTCGATAGCGGTCTCGCCCCGAGGTATTTAAAGCTGTCGACTCCTTCGAGTTGACGGCGATTAATCTCCAGGGGTGCAGCTCGAGTTTGTGTCTCGATATTTATGGACAAGCCAGCCGACGCAGCGATCTCATTTACCCATGACACCATAAACTGTAGATCGCCAAAGCTTGAGGCTAATAAAGCGATAGCATCGGCGTAGTCGAAATAAATTAGCTGGCGTCCAGATGAAAGCTCAACGCCGTCCTCTTCACGTAGGGCCTTCCCAAGAACCCAGTCAATGACGTAGTTGGATATAATGGGCGACAAGACACAGCCTTGTCGAACGCCAGACCGAATAGCAAACGATTCTGAGAGGTCGCTATAGACCAGAACCCGTGCAGTGGTGGAGCGGTAGTAAACCTTGATCATGGCGATGATTTTTGGTGGTGACCCGTCTAGCGGCATTACCCGCCACATGGATTCACGATGAACTGAATCGAACGCAGCGGCAAAGTCAACAAAGCAGACGGCCGTTGGTTGCTGGTAGCTATAGCGGATCCGCCTCAGTGTGAATATCTGGTCCGCATATCCACGCTCAACGCGGAAACTGGCTAGGTTGGTTCGCGTCCTAGAGTCACGCGCTGGTGGTCGTGTTAAGTTACACAGAGATGAAATTATGAAGCAACCAACGTACCCGCCATAAAGCTTGGTCGGTGCGGTTAGTTGGTAGCAATAAAATGCTACCCGAAAGGAAGCTACATGTTCTTGCAACCGGAGCTATCGGTAGGAGGACATTTCTAGATCACTTGCGCACAGGAAAATATAAAATAAAATACGACGGTAGGAGACTGGTACCAAATAGGAGCCGCTGCGACAAGAGCTCAAAATGGGAGGGGTGGAAACAGCCAGATTCCTGCCGCAGCGCAGTTATCGACAGCTCCTCCCAAAGCAGGCGGGAGGAATGAGTGAGATGAGAGGATTGTTCGCGAATACGCAATGGAAACATGCGAGGCTAATGTAAGAAAAGACTCCCCCGTCTCAGAAATACTGACTTAAGGCTATTTGCTTAAGTGGTTTCACAAAAGGCATTATGAAGGCTGGGGTAGTTGTTTTTTTGTCTGTGCCCGTCGTGAGCATTCTGGGTTTCCAAACTACAAGTTACATATTTTACATGCGAGGAAGGTCATACATTTTCGTACGCTTCTAGGAAGACGTCACACAGCTCTCATAATATTTTTAATGGACGTAAACCCTGTTGTATACTTTACAAGCAACAGTAATAACTATGCGGTGCTTTATTAATTGACATTTCACGATCCTCAAAATCCCATAATTAGAAACTTCCTCGCTACCTAAGTAGTACAAGAAATGCTGTTTCTCAGCATGTTTTGTAGTAAGCATATGTGAATTTAAAAGGACATCGAAAATCGATGCGAATATTCAGACTACAAAAGTAGAAATTTTTACTGAGTGTAGTCTTCGCAGGAAGTTGGATAGAAGCTAGTATAAAAAAACCGGAATCCCGATGTGACAGAAATTATCCGGATATTATTAATATTACAACCCCATTGAATTATTCGCATTTAATCGGGTAAGGGTTCCTTATAGGTGAAGCCGTAAACTTAACTAAAACTGATAAAACTCAATAACAAACCAAAAACTAAACTGAACTGAACTGAACTAAAAGTAAACCAAAATAAGTGAACTAAGCTAAACGAATCTAAACTAAAATAAAACTGACAAAACTAAATAATTAACTGAAAACGCAACTGAACTACAACTAGTAAAACTAAAAGTAAACAAAGCACCCTAAAGATTTCCGTGTGGGGAGTGTAATTGAGTGGTAAATACTTAATACGTACAGAAGAAACAGGCTTACTACAACGAAGTAAGTGGTTAATTATGTGTAGTAAAGCACAGCGCTAGGTATTAGGAATCCTCAGCCTTAATTGAAAACAGATTTCAGAATTGCTTTTGATATTTTTTTAGATAGCACAGATAGTGTATGCTCTAGCGGGTGGGGCTGAACGCTGAAGCGGACTCAGTTACTTGCCAACATGTGGAGGACTAGGCGGAAATACACAGTCTCCTTAAAGATGAGCGCCCCAAAATTTTGATTTAAACAGGAAGTTCAAACGACTGAATAAAAGCAAATCGAAATGCACCAAAGGGTAGACATTGGACTTCACGCCCTCAGACAATCATCTGCCCCGTAAAGTGTTCACGACCCACCTTATAAATACCCGAAACGTGTTTTCAGAACCTGATAGACAGACGCTATTGGCGAGATCTCCTCGTGAGATTAAAACAAAGGAATGGAAAGTGTGGTGACAACTCAGAAGGGCGAGGACATAAAAGCAGACTAACTGGGATAATTGAGCGGTTTTGGACTCCGATTCAGGTAAGAAAGTTGGAATACGGTCCAGATGAGTATCGGGGTCATGGCTTAGAAAATCGCCCAATACCAAGAATGAGTCTAAAAGGGATTGATGTTCAACGCGATTCGCACCCAAAATAGCCATAAAAACGCCAACCGCTGCAGTAAGAAGACGAATGGCAGACACCGAGATACTTTTAACCCACCATTGACTACTCTCAACAGAAATATGTCATCAAAAAAACTAAATTGCATAATGAAGAGGTGCTGCGCCAACATACCGGCAGTTACGTGTTCAGGTGCACGCTTTGAAAGTGAATTAAGTAGGCATTTTATAAGAATATAATTAGAGGTGAGGGGTACCAGTTCGATCCATACCTCGTTCGGCAACAATTTTCGAGAAACCGACAGTCATACCATCGATTCCGACTATATAAACAGAGTGATCCACCGCCAGATGGATGGAGGAACGGTGACTTGGGAATAAATTAGTTTGCAATGATAGCAGATACCTGTTAAACTCAAAGTGTTGGACAGGAAACAGCAAACATTATTTTGAAGTCAGATAAAAGTTCGACCATCGATTTCGACTATGTCTACCGTATGCTCCAAAATAGGGTGGTGCAGGGACAGTAAATTGCGCTAAACTATAGTGGAAGTAGACTTATACGGCGCCTACCTCACTCTATCTTTCCTCACCCACAACTCTAATAAACTGATCATATTCGATAAAAAGGCACGTAATTAGAAATCCCCTCGCGCTCCTCCTCAAAGGTGATTAAACTGCCGAAGCCTATGACACCTACAGGTTCATGTTGACACTCGTTGATGAACGTTCACCGACCGCTAACGGAACTCACTTGCACCACTCTGCCTTGGGTCTCATTTCTCGGGCCCGAAAACAGCCGTAACGACTAGTACTGTTAGGCAGATAGTATTGCCGGAAAAGACGAGGGAGACTGCAATTTCTGGCTTATTAGTCTTCGTCAGCCAGTCATACCCAACCCCAAGTGGTGCAGTACCCAAGCCTCGAACTCGCGACCATTTGATCAGAGTCTAACGCTCTAACCATTTAGCCCCAAGCTCGATTTCTGGGCGGTTTTAAGTCGGAAGATATTGACACTAGTTGATGAACGTTCACCGACCGCAAACAGAACTCATTTGTCTTGTTCTGCCTTGGGTCTCATTTCTCGGACCCTAACAGCAGCCGTAGTGGTTAGTAGTCAGACAGTAGTGCTGGCAAAAAAACGAAAGGCAAGAATACGTAAGACACGGAGAGAGATAGATAGAAGGGACGTGGCGGCTTACCCACTGCAACGAAGTAGAGAGGATCCCACACCAGACAGCATACAAAAGAGAAAAAAATAAGACTTATTATGATAATCGAAGCGGATAAAGAAGGACTGAGTGCACTAGCCATGACGAAATCATGTACAAGCAGGTCAATTTGTTACATGACGCTGGTGCGCACTGACCTCCATGAATATTACATGTCAACAGAGGGCCGCTGTAGGACAAAACAGGCCTGCTCCGGACAGTGAGTCATGTTAAATTAGTCACACAGGGTTTTTTTTCTCTCTGTTCTATCATCTATCGGAATGAGCAAACGGGAGCTGAGAAATACCAATCATCGTTCTCCAAAGATGTATGCGACAATCGTGT